CGCATGTGCCATAGATCTGATGTCTCATTTTTCCTTGTCCTGTCTACATATGCAGATTCTGCTGACATTACGTAGACTGACTCCAGTCGTCGCCCCTCCATTGTTGGTGTTTCTGAGATTTTGAGGTCACGATACACCTTTACATCTCGTGGACCGAACAAGACATGGTGGCCCGATGATGTCAATTGAGCCACAGATAGCAAATTTTTCTTCATTCCTGGGACATGATAAACATCTTGAAGTGGCACCTGGTTAGAATTATATCGAGGCTTAACTATTGTCTTACCGATGTGAGCTATCGGTAACCTTGAGTTGTCGGCTATCACCACCACACGACCTCCCTTGTATTCAGATAGATTTTGCAGCTTCTGTTTATCACCCGTCATATGATTTGAGCAGCCCGAATCTACGATCCAATCATTTTTGTAGTCAATGCGTTCTGGTGTTGTTACCGTGAGGGCTAATTCTTCTTCTTCCTCCGTAGCGAATAATGCTTCAGCATCCCAGCCATCTTCACTATTCTCCTTCGAACTGAAAGTAGCAGTATTACTTTCAACAGGCTCTTTCTTGGTCCAACAATCTTTCGCCATGTGGCCCATCTTCCCGCAGTTGTAACACTTGCCACTAAACTTTTTACTATTACCGCGATTCTTCCAAGCTCCCCCTAGACGAGAGCCTCCATTTTCTTGGTGACTTTGCACCTTTTCTCCATCCTTTTTAGATCCACTACCAGTGTACCGCTTGAAGGTGCCTTTGCTTTTGTTGGTGTAGAGCGCTTCCTCTTCACTCTTCAGTGAGACTCCTCCCATTTGCTTGGCCATAGCTTCTTGACTTGCAAGCAAATTTTCAAACTCAACAAGCGATGGTTGTGTCGGCCATCCTTGTATAGCGGCAATGAACCCTCGATATTCGGGTCTCAAACCATGGATAATTATTCTCTTCATCCTGGTTTCCCCAATAGGAGCTATTGGATCTAATTCTGAAATTTCGCGGCATATTGACTTCACCTTGTGAAAGTACTGGGCAATCGTCATGTCGCGTTGTACCATCGATAGCAGCTCGTTCTCGAGAAGTTGCAATTTTGTATCGTTCCTCTTCGAAAAGAGTGTAACAAAAGTGTCCCATGCTTCCTTTGGCGTTTTAGCATCTCGAATGTGCTTCAACATTTCTTCTTCTATTGTGGTCTTTAAAGCAAACATTGATTTGCCTGCTTTAATTTTCCACTTCCGCAAGACGCCGTTAGCATTTTCCGCTGCCGGTTGTGTAGCTTCACTACCACCGACAACCTCCCACAAGTCTTGACCTTGAAGGTAAGACTCTATACACGTTGCCCACGTGTTATAGTTTTGATTGTTGAGCTTCTTGATTCCTCCAACAACTTGAAGATCACCCATCGTATCGGCAAAACTTTGACTACACCGAACAAGCTTGAGTGACTACCGTGCAGAGTAATACACTACTCTCGACACAAAGAAACTCCCTCTCAAGGTTTGTGATAACCCCAGCAATAATCTCAAGAAATTTTTTCTGATGTGGAAGATCAGTCAAAATTGCAACCACAGAGCATACTCGGAATTTCAAGAGACTTTACAACCAATGCTCTACCAAGAACGATCCCTGACCGACTTGGCTCTAGATACCAATTGTTGAATAAGAAGAGTATCCAAGATAACTCTAATGATCCCAAGAAGAAGAAAATAGAGCACACTCTTAAAGAAAGCTCACAAAACAAACTAATTAGCAAAGCTTTTCTTATTTAGCTCTAGGCTTTGTTTTTCCTTGGATGATATGCAATGCTTGGGGACTTGGGTATTTATAGCAAACCAAATGAAAGCTACACCACACACTTACTTCACCTACAACATCCACCTACTTCACCTACAACCTCCACTTACTTCACCAACCTCACACACTTACTTCACCTACAACATCCACCTACTTCACCTACAACCTCCACTTACTTCACCAACCTCACACACTTACTTCACCTACAAATGACATTGATTCTCAACATACTAGTTAACTAGAAAAGTCCAGATTAAAGATACATGTGTTATTTTGTCCTAATCATAGTATGATATTGTTAAAATCAGATTCATTTTATAATCGTTAAATAAGTGGGAGTGGAAAAACAAGGGAAAATGGTTGTTTAGGAAATTGGGATCTAAGTATTTCCTAAAGCAATTGTTGTTTTTACAGTTGTGAACAATTGAACAACAATGAACACAACAATAAATGAGTATCCACTCTATGATGATATTTTTAGCAATAAAAATATCATACAACATCATAAAGAGGAACATTAAGACAACGTCAAGACATCAATTGTGTTGACATTTGTTATTTTGAATGAATGTATGTTTTTGTCTACAAGAATTTCATTTTACAAAATAAGTATGGATTCAATTTCATTTTCCCATTTCATAAATGTATTTATTCTACTTATTGGTTTTATATCCTAAATGATGCAGTTAAAATGAATGGATTGAAATAAAGTCTGACATTTTGTTGATTTGCGTAACGATGTTGAGTTGTATGAAAGTATCGTCCTGATACATAGCTCTCATGACAATATGCAATGATATAAAATTCAGGCCATTGATCAAATATTTCACTTGTAAGGAAATGATTCACTGTAAGGAGCATTCTCACATGTTTATAAGAATAACCCAATTAGAATCATACTGATATAAGTATCTCATCATGTTTTATAGATTCATGGAATTGATGTGAAAAATGTTATATCGGATGAATGGTTAATAGAGAACTCCTCACAAATTAATATGAGAACTTCTCATTACTGAAAGAAACACATAATTTTGTAATTTAAAGTATCATAGTGTGCAAAGTTTAATGGTATTATAATCTACTTTAGTCTAATAATTTGTATATATATCTCAAGTTTAATGGGAGTAAATTTAAATTTATATTTATCATCTGAATAATTATAGATATTTTTCTTGCTAATATTGGTCTTGGTTTATTGCTTAAAACCATTAAATCTTCTCTAAGATCTATGAAACAAAGATATGGATGAGCCATTTTATGTGATAGGAATTTAAATATTTCGAAGGGATCATATGGATTTTTAGGCTTTTCCCTTTAAGCATGTATTGAACGAGTTATGGAGAGATATGAAATAATCTTATCCAATTTAGTAAGGGACAAGTTTAGGCTTATTTGATTTCCATACAGAATTGGAACATCAAATTACAAAGAGAATTCATTATCGTTGTAGGAAATGTGACTTGCTTATTTGAGGCCACAATTCTTACTATTTAGTGCGAATTTTTCTTAAAGATTGGGTACTTATGTTTTATTACTAAGCTACCGAGAATTCATGGTAATGTCACAACTATCACTTTTTCTAATAATGACAAGTATTGTAAGAATGCTAAACATAACAAAAAGAAAAATATCTTGTATAAAGTAGATTTAGAAACAATGAGTGTCTGTGATGACAAAAGTTCTTCTCCCAATCCCATTAAGAATTAGATTATGGTTGTGGAAATAAATGACATATGTTGAAAGAATTGTGGTCATGGTTGGTACTAATGATTTGTTGTGTTGGATGATGTTTAATTCTTCAAGTTGACACTCTAAGCTCAATAACTACTGATGTTTATGATATTTCCTGTTTTCCAATATATTTATACATGTATGAGATTGGATGTATATAACAGGAATAGTCTCTGACAAATATATTATTGGGCCTTTGTATTTACTACTCACTAGTTGACCGTTTTGAGTGATTTATTAGTGTTGTGGTACATGGAAGGGCTATGTTGCATATAGATTTAAAACCAACATGACTCGCATTAGTGAATTACTTAAAATTGGTATTTATATTAACCATTTGATAGTAAGGATGCTTTCAAATATAATGTGCGCCTATTGTTTCTTTATTAAACCAAAAGACATATGTCATATGGGCCAACTGAGAGAATGTAAGAATATTTTAATATTCTAATGTGGCCCACATGCCATGGTACATGTGTGATATAAAGCAATTCTATTGGTCAAATTGTATGAGAATTGGTTTCCTATTTTATTAGTGTGATGGGAGGTAATAGATGATGGGCTTCATTAGAAAATTGTACTCGTCTCTCTGCGTATAAGAGTGCACATATCCATCTAATGTATACACTAATGAAGAACACATATTAAGGTTTTAACATACAAGCAAGGGCTAAAGAGAACCTAATTTCATCCACTTTGACGACTTGTTTATGGATTGCTCAAGATAAGGATTGTAGATGGCATTTGGTGGCTAATTATCGAGGTATGTAATTTATGTATAAAGGATTAATAATCGTTTGTGAAAATGATGGAGTCCAAGATCTTGGCTCATGAATTGGATCTTATGGATTTACCCAATTTTAAATTTACATGCAAAAATCATTAAAATATAAAAATAAAGCCAACTTGGTCAAGCGATGAGTTGTATTATTATAGCTAAACAACAAACCTGAAGAATCATGGAGCCTTGATCCTTCTTTGTTATGACCAACAATCACTGTCCAATATCACTTGGCTAAAGTGCGCTCCAAAACTTGATAGATTTCCTCACGAGCAGCCTGAATTTGGCTTTTATTTTTTGTTAAATGTTACAAAATTTAAGGACTTGAAAGAAATGTTAACTTTTCAAAATATTCGTCCACATATCCTAACCCATATATATAGTGATGTAAAAGAATTATAATTAATAGAAAACATTTTGCTACCTGCGGAAACAACATTTTGGCTATAAATAACGTTTGCCATATTTTTATTTTTATAAAAGGTAAGCTTGCAAACTATTGATTTGTCTAGATGCATGCAAGAAGATCAACATTCAACAACAGTTCTAAGAAGATGAATAGAGGGTTTAAATTGCAAGATCCATTCTTAATATACTACAAATCCTTATTCCAAGTTTCCAATATCAAAAGCTTCAGATTATTTTCTATTACATGATATATGCTGCAGGATTATCACTCTAGCCTATATATGCCTGGCCATCACTTGAGCAATGACTCCATAATCTTTTCCCAGTCCTGTCAGCGAAAAGAAAAAAAAAAGACAAAAGAAAAAAAAAAAGAATGTTAAAATCGTAAAGGAGTCCATCAAAGTAATTAGAGTGAACACTTCTGGACTCTCGCCCATTTTGAAATGGATCAAGGATTTACAACGTTCACGAATAAAAATCCGCCACACGAACATTAAAATAAAATTTAATGTATATTTTTTCCTTATTAACAACTATTTCGTCTCATTGGATCCCTCCGTTTTTGCTGATCAAGGTTTTCTCTTTTTAATTTCTTTGGTTATGTAGGAAGGGGTCGAACTCTTAACCTGCCCAATTTTTGATTATTTCTCACCACTTGGCTAATTCCAAATTCCCAAGGACTTACGTAGGTATATATATCTCTACACGTCCGAGAGGAGCTTAAACTAACAAATACGAAAACTAGTGCTTGATGACATGAATATTTAAGGATTAAATCTACCTTGAATAATGAACATACCTCATCAGGAGAGAGATCCACGAAATTCAGCCCATCACCATCGAACTCAAGGTCCATCATATCAGCTTGGCTTTCCTGCTACACCATTACATTGCCACTATGTTAATCAAATGAAATATATCATGAGTTGAAATTAAAGTTGATTATGCCAAAAGGAAAACCAAAGTACAGAAAATAAAATAAATCAAGGCTGTGCCAGGCGTTTAATATACAAAGGTGATCATTTTACATGCCTGACGAAGGGATATTTCTTTGTTCAGAGTAGAATTTTCTTGGACCAAACTTGCATTGGGATCAGAATTCATGACTTGTTTTCCCTAAACAAAAAGAAGATAATGCTCAATATTATATATAAATTAAGTCAAAAATAAAATTTAATTATGTTTTTCTTAGTACCTTGAAAACAATCAAGCATACCTTATCACAAGTCGCGGGTTCCGAATTAAGTTCATCCAAAGTTATACTATCAAAGTCATCACTAGTGTCTTGTTCAGAATTCATGACTTGTTTTCCTTTTCCCTGCACAAAAAAGAAATAGGATAATTGTGAAGGACCACATGAACAATTATTAATGGAGAAATGATGTTCGCTCCTTTTCTTCGAATGCACATCTCTGTTTATTTATGTTTCTCAATTAATTATCTTTTAATTTTATTCAATCCAAAGAAAAGAAAAAGACACAAGCGGGGATAAAAGAAGTATAGAAAATTATTTCCCTTATTGATATGCAGTATTATATATCTAGTCAAAAGGGAAATCTTATATCTTTCTCACTACCATTACAAATATTTATACGAGCATACCTTATCATCAGTAACGGATTCTAGTTGAAGTTCATTCCAAAAGATATCACTAATATCAAGGTCATCATGACCAGTAGTGCTGTCTTTCAAATGTATCTCAGTAGAGCTAGAACAGTCCACTACTCCTGTCACATGGCTACTGCTGTTATTGGAAGCATTCACAAGATCAGTACCACCATATTGTTGTTGCTGTTGCTGTAGAGGGTTTTCCAGTGCTAAAGCATTAACATTTTCTTGTCCAATATTATTGCCTTCAACAAACATTGGTGACAACTGACTGCTGCTAGCACCACAGACATAATTTTTGACACCATTTGAAGTATCCCAGCTTGAACTAAACAGAATCTGATTTGGAATATTGGTACCAATTTTAACTCCATTTGCATTATTGCTCCCAAAGTTATATGCAACATCTGCCGATGTGTTAGTAATGGACCAGTTTCTTTGAGCACTGTTTGATTGAAATATTCCACAGTAATTGGCTGGTTGGAAACGATTTGGTGTGTTCATCATCAAAGGCTGCTTTCCAGAGTGAGTCTGACCATTCAGTACATATGGATTTTGTCTGGTGTTGTATGATCCTGATCGAGGTAGGCATCTGCTGCTAGAAGCTTCATGATCATTAGCGCCACGTTGCAGCCGGTTGAGAAGCCATGCAGTATTCTGATTAACTAAGAGCTCGAAATTTTCATGGAATGATCTTCGTTGCTGCAGTGTGGATGCTTGTCCTTCTACTAAAATGTTTTGGTACAATAATGCACGTCTTGTGAGTTGGGCTCTTTCCATAGACAATTTGCTGACTGAAATTTTTGCTGCAACTTTCCTTAAGAACATTCTATATTTCTGAGAAAACAACGAAAGATTAATCATCATTGTTCATTTGAATTGAATTAATCATCAGTTATTGCCGCACACCCCTTTCTCTTTAAGCACATTTATGGCATTTTGATTAAATAAATCAAAGCAGAATAATTAAGGACAAAAACAAACAAGGGTGTGTAGAAGGAGAAGGGCGGGGGGAAAGGATTTATCATGCCCTACAATCAGGAATAAGTACCATTCAGTAGGAAGAACCACAAAGTTCTAATGTATACATATTCCTGTCGCATCCATTCATTTAATTCAAGGTTTTCAAGAATTCAAATCTCATGGACAACAATTGTTGAAAAAAGAATCAAAAGAATTATTAACTTTCATAGCATTTGCCATTTCTCTTTCGATTTCAATTAAACGTGAGGGTAATCATGCAAGAACTTTTACTAGTTATCACATGCATAGGTTAATTATCTAAGTGTTTCAATTTGAAACACATTTATTGACATCTCTAAAACAGGTGGCTCTCACATACATAAGTTGAGAGTGTTGGTATCTAAAACAAGGCGATGAGTAAATGTGACCCAATTAGCATTATAACATACTTACTGAACTTTCCACAACTGCAGACTTAAAGACAAACCTGCAAATGACTTGCAACGTTTTCTCTGGTTAACCCTTCAACATTCATGACCTCAAGGATTCTTTTTGGAACAGCCTCTGAAAAAATTGTAAATCAATAAAACCATAATCACTAGAAGTTAGTTATTAGTAGGTAATTAAGCCAAATCAAACTACAGCACTATAAGGAATAGCAATTAGTTAAATATTAGTAAGAAAAACTATGACCAAATCAAACAACTTTAACTTACTGTCTAGGCCTATATAATTAATAGCCTCCAAGAAGCGATCCTGAAGTTCAGAAGTCCACTCGACCTTGTGCTTTTTTGTAGAAATATAAGTACTTTTCACTCCCTCTGATGATCTTTTTCTCTTAGAATTGTTACTCCCATCTGTGGATGATGATGATTTCCCATCAACACTTGCTCTACGGTTAGTAATATTATTGTTTGAATCCAATCTTGTTGTTTCATTGACTCCCAAAACCAATCCCCATAGGTTTTTCACATCACTAAAGCAAACTGGTTTCACTGTATAATGTATAGCACCATTCTCTAGAGCCGCTAGTATGGTACTCTCGCTGTTATCAGCTGAAGCCACTAAATCCAAGTTGAAACCAGTTAGAATTACAATCGTTACATAATACTCATATACAAACATATATACTTACATACATAACAAAGGCTAGAAATACAATCATTGCGTGATAATCATTTACAAACATAAGTACATACATAACAAAAACAAGAAGGTAACTGGATGCCTAGAGATATCCTTAATCCCAAATTTCACTTCAATATACCCCAATCCCCAATTTTCAAAACCCTAACCACTAATCTAAAAAGCCACTCTCACTTTAAGGCAAAAAGTATATACAAAGGAGAGAAAATGACACAAAAGGTGTGACTAATTAGGACTTTGGATATATAACATATGCAAACAAAATATAAAGAACATGACTAATTACAGTTTCCTCACCAATTAACGGCAGCTTAAATTCATCTCTCACTCTTCTTATAAATTGAAGTCCACTAAAAATATCAGGCAGGTAAAGGTCTGTGATAACAAGATGGAATTTGTGTTCTGCAAGCAGAAGTGCAGATAAGGCTTGGATTGGATTCATGAATGTCACAACTGAAACATAGCACAAAATAATAATTATTTTTTCACAATTTAGAAACAAAGTAGCATTATTCAAATAGGTTTTCGTTAAATGTTTCGAAAGATACACATGCATTGGATAATTAATGAGGTTCCAAAATGAGCGCATATGCTATGCGAAGAGAAAATTAGGCGAAAGTCAGACATCGTTGACAGTCATGCAGTAGTAGGTACTCGTGGATAGTAGAATTACTTCACTAAGAACATAAACACTTACCTCTGTATATATACTATGATGGATTGATAAACCTTTATACATATGACGCCAAAAATTAAATACGTATGAAAAACCTAGTCAACAGAATCCAAATAAGCAGTATATATTGAAATTTGGTGGTATTGTTTTAAACATTAGCGATTTATGATCAGTTAAACCTGATTTGATAAACTATTTGTAAAAGATCTCCATATATGCAAGTGTGGTTTTTCAGGATAGAACAATAACCAGAAGAGATAGAGAGAGAGAGAGAGAGAGATGAGCTAAACAATCTAATTCCTTCCTTCTAAGTTTGATGAAAGAATAAAAGAATTAGAAAAAGAAAAGCAAAAACTGAAAGAAATGAAAGGGTTAAAAAAAAACAAAAAATCTGTAACAAGAAAAACACTAAAAGCTAATCTCTCTAATGAAAGCAGATTCTTTAAACTCTACTAGAAATCTATAAATCAAATTTTTACCTAAAATGAAAGAATTGGGTAGATTAACATGACTAAAATTGAAAGGCTGCATGCACAACTTTACGTATATTTTGGGGATAAAATTACTTTCCCCTTTTTATTTCCTCTTCATTTCTCTTGTAAGAAGTGAAAAATCAAATGGAATGATGTTTCCTAAGTCTGTTACCTTCATGTTTCAAAAGTTTAAGCAAGCCTGAAATAAAGGTAAGAAAATCAGCATCAATGTCCAGAACGAGAATACGAAGTCTGATGGGAATGTTACTTGTGGGCATGATATCAGATTGGGGGCCCTTCAAATTCTTATCTCGACACATACTTGACGAACCTCTCTTAGGCCTTCGCATATGAACCGGAGAGGAAAGTTCAAACAAGGTTACAAGTTGGTAGAATCGTAGCGAGAGAGAGAGAGAGAAAGAAAGACAGTGAGCTAGAGTGAGATGAGAAAGAGGGGGAAAGAGCATCCCTATTAGTTTGATTCATTCTTAAACTCCAGGTTAAACAACATATATATAATGGATAAAAAGCAGGTGTATCGTAAGCCATCACAAATTACTATGCCACATGCTATTTGTTGAGTAATTAATGTGCATATCTGGGGTAAAATTTACAATTAATGCAATTTACCAAAAAGAAAAAATCCTTCCAAAAGTTTCCAAAACAAGAAAATTATGCAACCTTTCTGTGGGCAATGCAGCATAATGTTTTTCTTCAGATCAACTTTTCTTTTTCTAGAAGGGGGTTTATAGCTTAATCGGTTAAGAGCCTCCAAACTTTCACTCGAAGTCTTGACTCACCTCCCTCTATATCAACGGCATATGAACAATAAAAAAACTTATTCTTTTTCTACTACTTCTAAGTTCATCCCGAACACAATATTAGCTCAAAAATACTTATGAACAATCATGGTATGGGTGAGGTCTTGACAACTTATTTTAGTAAATTAAACTTTTAAGATGAATACTGAATAATGTATATGTGCGAGTGCACGTGTGTGTGTATATATATCTGAACATGTCACATTTAAATATATTGAAGGACGTTTCACTTTTTGAATCATACTACAAGATATTAAGAAATACAATGCAGTTTTAATTCACTTTCGCTTATAACCCCTCTAAAGGAAAATATCACCCTTTTAATTAATTATTTCAAAAAAGCTTTATAATTGGAAAAATAACAAATTGTATATTGAAAAATTTACCCTTTTAATTCAATATTTTGTCCTGCATCTTCTTCTCTCTCATATGTTTCCTTCTTCTTCTTCTTCTTCTTCTTCTATCTCATATATATATATATATATATATATATATATATGTTTCCTTCTTGTTTTTCTTCTTCTACGATTGGATTCGAAGTAGTTTCGAAGATAGAGTTTTATTACAATGTCCTTAAATGTCGAATTAATATTCTCAAAATAATTATCCCCAACGAGTCATAACAATGCTTAATCAAGCTTTACAGAGTTGCAGAAATTATGAGAAAGGTTGAAGAACTTCAAAAATGTAAAGAGTCGAAGAGAGAGAGAAGAGAAAGAAAGAGGGAAAAGTATAGCTTTGAATAGATTCACATTAATGAGAAATGAGAGGCTACATCAGTGTTGGAAGTATGCCCACAAAGCCACTCATTTGATGTAATAGCTTTTTGGAATACTTATTGTGTTAAACTTTTATATGTTTAATAGAGGGCAAAGCTTATTGTTAATCACTATTTATAGTATCTTGTGTTTAAGCAATAAGGGAATCCAAGGAATGTATTTGATCTAAGAGACAAGTGATTTAAGTTAGTTAAATTAACGAGACCTTTCTCTTATGTTCATTCCTAAAACGTTCCTAGCCATAGGATTGCCAATTGGGCATTGACAATCCGCTAAGGTTAGTATGTGTTATGTCAACTCAAGCGTGAGTATGAACTAGTCTCAAGTCATTTGGTGTTGGACACTAAGGCAAACACATAGGTGCTCGAAAGAGTAATCGAGTACACTGAACAACGATCAAACAAGAGTTCGAACATACATGTCATGTGAGAACTCAATAGTTGCAATATGCAAAGTAGTCCTTTGACCTGAGGCATCATTGATGTCTAATGGTTAGGTCCTTGATCTTTGATTATGTCAACGGCATTCCATTGGAGTGTCCACGGCATTGTTGGGGTCAAGCTATCTAGTCATGTAGGCATATGAATGCACAACAAGGGATCTCTAACCTTCCATGATGGAAGGAGAATACTCTAAGATATGATTCGAGAGTCTTTGGCCAAAGCATATGAATATGACTAAGGAAGATGTTCCAAATCTTATTCAATTGAATCATATAGAGAAGTATCACATTGGATAGTAGACATGAAACAAACTATCACTTAAACAATGTGATTAAGAGTATTGTATTAGAGAAGGACCGTATTGCATTGTAGTTGTAACTGGCTAGGTTCTCCAACCACTTCTACTTAGCTTGGGTAACCATGACATGCTGCTAGGCGTCACCCATGGTTTGTGGAAGCCCTAAAGATTAGCAAACACTAATTTTAAGGGAGAATTGAAATGTGGTTTCAATTCACAATCGATCGTTAAGAGTAACATCGCCCACTACCTCGCTAATTGGAACCTAATGGATCGTACACCGAGTAAAGATATAAGTGAAGAAATTATATGAAATGGATAAGCAATTAAATGGTTTAATTGAAGAATGGTCAAGATTAATTAAATAGTTAATTAATTATACGAAACGTTCGTATTGGGCGTTTAAGTTAGTTTTGGGCTTCGGAGCACAAAAACGTTTTGGTCCACAAGGCCCATTATGTTTAAGTTGTATGACAACTAAAACAAAATGGGCAATTAAGCCCAATAACAACTAATGGCCGGCCATAAGCTTCAAGGGTAGTGAACTTGGCTTAATTGCAAGTTTGCCACTCCATTGTGAGGTGGTATAAAGACATCTTTATAGCCATTTCATCCTTAGGGTTTTCTAAGAGAATTTGGGTGAAACATTTTCTCTAAATTTCAACATAGAGGCCGGCCACCTTAGGGGGAGGAACATCTAGCAATCTTTCTTCCCTAAGTCATCCATTTCATCTTCACACAACATCTTTGGTGTGGAGACTTAGAGACACCAAACTTTTGGTGTTTTGGAGAACAAATCCTCAAATCCTCAAAGAAGAAAAAGGAGCACTAAAAGGGAGAAAATCACAAGGAAGATCCAAGGAGCAAGGAGGTGACTTGAAGGCCCTCCACTTGGGTGAATCCCTTGTGCAATCAAGGATGAGCTTCAAGGGTAAAGAATCTCTAAATTCTTATTCTCTTTAATTTTGTTAAAGAGTCTTATGATTCACCATATACTAGGCTTTGAAAGTCATGGGTTTTATGAATTGTTTTTGAATGCATGCCTACTTTAAAGTGTTATTAGTTTGCATATGTATTCAAATGTTCTTACATGTTCTTAGCTAGGACAAAATTTTTCCTTCAAGTGGTATCAAGAGCCTAGGCCTAGTTTATGGTGGATCCTTTTGGGTTTTGTGATTTTTCCATATTTTGTGATTTAAGTGTTGTAAATGTTACAAGCTTTGTTCTTGCTTTGAATATAAATTTTACTTGAAAATTTAGCATCTCAAATGTTGTAGATGTATTTCATTAAAGCATGAATAATGGAATTAAAAGTTGGTGCCAAGTGTTTTGGGATTTTCGACCAAATCCAAAGGGTGATTTTTTGGGTTCTTGTTAGTCTTATTAAAATGGTTTTAAAGTGCCTTTTGGAACCCCTAAGTACCCTAGGATATTAATCCTCTTTTGAGTTGTGAAAATTTGAGTTTTTGGTGAAAGAAAACATCCATGGAGCTATTATGAGTTTTCATGTATGTTCTTCATATTTCTTGAAGTTCTTACCAAGAACAAAAAGTTTTGAAGTTTTGATTCAAAAAGTTTTATGTTTTTCATAAAGTTTTGATTTTCAAATGGTGGGTGATAGTTATTGGTGAGATGTGACTAAAAGAATTTTAAAGTTTTATAAAAAACATTTTCTTACAAACCATCAAAGTCACCTTTGTCTCACCTACCAAAAACCACTCACAAAACTTTAGAATTTTTTCAATTTTACAACACTATGGCCGGCCACCTTTGGTAAAAGGTGATGGAGGGACTTTTGTGCAATTATATAAAGTTTTGATACTTTTGTGTATTTGCATTTTGACCCCAAAAGTTTTTTTGTTTTAACAAAGTGACCCAAATTGTTGTGGTCATTGTTTTTGGCCCAAAAACAAAATGAGAACAAAAATTGTTTTGTCTCTTTAATGAGAATTTGATTTTCATTATATTTAGTTCCATTTAAATCAATTCTATGGATCCAAAAACCAATTGTTTAAAGTTGCTTTCTTAGTTAATTTAGTTAATTAAGAAAAGGGTGATTATGAACTAAAGGCCTCGATAATTGAGCTATGTGATTGGCCGATTTACATTATGAATGCTTGGGTTTTTAAGTAAAGTAGATTTGAATGTAATTTGATTAGTTCAAGTTGTTGTAAAGGGCATAAGCCCATTATTTGTGTTGTAAAAGAGCATAAGCCCTTCTTATTATTTCATGTATTCCTCTTTGTTTATATGTATGCAAATTGGAATAGTTGGGTCCAACGCCCAATAGGAAATAACGGTTTAATTGGATTAAACGCGTAACTAAAATCAACAACTATCTACCTTAAACCCAAGGTCCAACACAAGGCTCGTGTTGGATCAAATCAAACGGTTCATAATCATCCTAAAACCTAATATGACTATATAGTCCATATGAGGATGCAATGCGTTCGTTAGTAGTTCCATATACTCTCGCTTGTTTCAACGAAACAGTGGGAGTATTATATGCTACTAAATCATATTAACTTGGACCAATAGTTATGATAGGGCCATGTTCTTTTAATATGATTAAAATGTTTTTGATGTAGCCCAAAACTACTCCCTCAAACGAATATTAAGTTGATAAACGAGAGATGTTTTGAACATTTCTTCGTAGGCCTTCCACCGTGGTGGGCTCCAATCGTTTGTGACTTGTACACCGGCTTCACCCTATCATGGGGGAGTACAAAGTGCATGCTTACACTCAGGAGGAGTCCATAAACATATGATGAGGTAAGTGTAGGCAACGAGGATAGCCAACATCGTATCATCGTGAGGTTATTCTTGAACCCCTACATGAACTAAGCATGGTGGGAATAACTTAACTAAGTGCAATAATGCCAACATCGTATCATCGTGAGGCAACATTCTCTAGAGGCCAAACAAGATGGGTAATTACAAACGTTGTAAATGAATAAAGCGTTATTCTCTCATCATTAT